GAGGTAGGCCTCTAATAAGGCTTGAAGCTGGGGTTTGGTCAATTTACTTTTTTGTTTTTTAGGAGGGGGGGGGGGTTGGGTTATTAAAGTTTAAGGCAGCAAATTGCTGCGTTATTTGAGTAAGGGCTTGAATAGTTTGTTGCAGAGATTGTAGAATTAATTGTTGAGGAGAACTATCCTCAACATTGAAATTGGTTAAGACAGGGGAGGGAGTAACAACTTGATTGATGGATGACATAGCAGGTTTTCTACGTGTGGGTGCGAGTGTCGCCATCTGTTGGGGAGGTTTAGAATTAGATGTTTGTGATTTGCTAGCGGCCTGGGCATAGGAGAAATTGGGGCGAATTAAATTATTGACAGCAGAGGTATAATTATTAGTAGTGTTAGCGTTAGGGGTTCCTTTACGGGGTTTGGGATATAAGGGGCATTTGGTATAATTTGCCATGTGTCCGTACACATGACAATTAATACAGTAGGTTTTATCTAGGCGTTTAATGGCGCAGTCCCTCGTCTGATGGGGCTCGTCGCATTTTAGGCATCTAGGGGTGAAGTGGCAATTCTCGGCAGTGTGATGGAATTTATTGCACGAATAGCATTGGGTTACCCTTTCAGACAACCGCCGTTTTCCCATAAGAGTTTTAATCGCTTTATCGCAACTCTGTGGTGACCAATCAGAAGCGAGTTTCTCGTCGTGGGGTGGAGTCTACTGCTATAAAAGGCGAAGACATTTCACCGCGAGCCAAAAAAAAAAAGTTCTCTTTTTTTTTTAAGATTCCAATAAGAAAAGAGAGTGATCACACTAAATGCGATGTAATTCATACTGGACATCATTAACACACTCGGGGGGGGTTGTAATAATTACGTTGTGTGGCGTCAGTTTTCCTATCATAACTTACCCATTTCCTTGCGTACTTGACAAATTTTTAGAAGTCGTGTAGGGGCCAATGGGAGAAAGCGTGTTTGCGGTCAGTGTTTTGACCAATGGCTAAGCAACCTTGTAATGCCACGTGTCGGACAAGAAGATGTGAAAGACATTCCAGAGAGCCGCTCTCTTCCCGTTGTGTCAATTTTCAGTGCCTCATTTCGCTCGTTAACTCAAGTTGTCAACCAATTTTAGGGTGCTCCAAACAGGAAGTCTGCAATCTTCATCCAATTTTGGAACCTGTTCGCAATGAGTCCGCAACAAACTCATTGCGGAACAGCTTCCAAACATTCCGTCTTCGAAGATGGAAGAACAAATGCTAACAACACTTATTGATGACTTAGGTAGTAAGATGAATTATTTTTTTCCCCTTCCTATTTATTCTTTTTTTTATAAATGTCATGTCTTTTTTTATTTATTTAATTTATTTTCATGATTGTTTGATTTTATTAATTGTTGTAGATTCATCTAGATACCGATGTAATGTTAGAATTGATTAATGAATTTGCAAATAACAGGTAATGAATGAGATGCTTGTAGTTAAAAGAAATAAACCATTTCCCTCCTTTATTGATGTGAGTGTGTAAAGCTGTCTTTTTCTATTTATGACTGTTATAATGCCCGTGCATAAATTAGAGAGTGTATGATGTTGTAATTCTTGTTTTCTAATGACCCTTGAGCGCTTTATTTATTTATTACTTTTCTAGTCTGATTTGGAAAGATTTGTTTGCTGCGATCATGATATTTATAGCTGTGATTTTTTTGTTTTGTTTTTTTTAAATTTATGAATTGTTTGCGTTGTGACTCGCAATTTTGTTATAAGTTAGATTAGGTCATAATGTTTCTGCATTTTATTAGAAATCAACGCTCGCTTTCTGCCAACGGCCATACCATGATGAAAGCACCGGTTCTCGTCCGATCACCGAAGTTAAGCATTATCGGGCGTGGTCAGTACTTGGGAGGGTGACCACCTGGGAACACCACGTGCCGTTGGCCTTTTAAATTTTTAATTTAAAAAAAACGAGGGGGCGTTAGAACTAATTTTTGGATGGTATACGATGAGCGAATATTATTCCGTGCGGTGTATATAACAGAGACACATACTCACCTTACTTTTTTTTTAATTATTATTAAATTCGTTTATTTCTTTCAGGAACTTGATGAAGTGTGATTCTCTTTGATTCCATCGAAACACGCGAGAGGAGTAAGTTTTTCTTTTCGATCTTGTCACATCAATGCATATTCACAAACACATGTATTTATCCTATATGTGATGTTTGCTTGCTTTTTCCTCATATATTGTTATGTCCACAAAATATTTTGTTCTGCTTAACACTGTTACACAAATCGAACTTTGTTATGTGAAAAAACACAAATTCTTTTATATTGTCACATTTTGTTCTTTTTAACACTGTTACAGATTCCAATTTTTGTTTTTCATTGTTATGTCAAGAAACACTTACCTGCCTCTCTGGAATCCAGAAGTGATTTTTTCAGTCAATCTGAGCAGAGGGTGATAAGTAGAGAGATGCCTGGTGAACCCGTACTGATTGGGGTTGATGAAGTTATTGCACTCCGTGAACTTTTTCACTCTGTTAAGAATTACATGCTCGGTGATCTTACTTAAAATGCTGAGAAGGGAAATGGGTCTATAACTAGAGGGGGAAAAACGGTCTTTGCCTGGCTTTTTGATTGGGAACACTATTGCATTTTTCCAGTTATTGGGGAAATGCCTAAGGTATAAAATTTTATTAATTAAGAAGGTGAGAATAAGAATTAGTTTGAGGGGGAAATAGGGGGAATTATGCGTAGCATTCATATCTCCAAAGATAACACAATTACTGTTGGTCTGAAGGAGTTGCTCGAAATCGAGAGTGAATAATCTCTCGTCCGAGCTTGGGGGGATGTAAATTGAGATTATAGAAATGAGATTTAAATTAGGGGGAGTGAGGACTACGATCGTAGCCTCACAGTGCTGGAGAGGGGGAGTGAGAAGATTAAAATGGGGGATATTGCGTTTTATCAGAATTAGAGTACCACCGCGCGCAGACACGCCCGTGTCCCTATCATTACGATAACAAATGTAATTAGCTACGTTGATGTTGTGTTTAGGTCTCAGATGTGTTTCCTGAATTAACATAACATCGGGAGAGTACTTCTCTATAAAAATTTTAAATTCCATTATTTTATTTAACAAGCCGTTTGCATTCCATGAGCAAAGTTTTAAATCAATCAAGTTGTATCTACTCATCATCATTATCGAGGTAGGCCTCTAATAAGGCTTGAAGCTGGGGTTTGGTCAATTTACTTTTTTTTTTTAGGGGGTTGGGTTATTAAAGTTTAAGGCAGCAAATTGCTGCGTTATTTGAGTAAGGGCTTGAATAGTTTGTTGCAGAGATTGTAGAATTAATTGTTGAGGAGAACTATCCTCAACATTGAAATTGGTTAAGACAGGGGAGGGAGTAACAACTTGATTGATGGATGACATAGCAGGTTTTCTACGTGTGGGTGCGAGTGTCGCCATCTGTTGGGGAGGTTTAGAATTAGATGTTTGTGATTTGCTAGCGGCCTGGGCATAGGAGAAATTGGGGCGAATTAAATTATTGACAGCAGAGGTATAATTATTAGTAGTGTTAGCGTTAGGGGTTCCTTTACGGGGTTTGGGATATAAGGGGCATTTGGTATAATTTGCCATGTGTCCGTACACATGACAATTAATACAGTAGGTTTTATCTAGGCGTTTAATGGCGCAGTCCCTCGTCTGATGGGGCTCGTCGCATTTTAGGCATCTAGGGGTGAAGTGGCAATTCTCGGCAGTGTGATGGAATTTATTGCACGAATAGCATTGGGTTACCCCTTTCAGACAACCGCCGTTTTCCCATAAGAGTTTTAATCGCTTTATCGCAACTCTGTGGTGACCAATCAGAAGCGAGTTTCTCGTCGTGGGGTGGAGTCTACTGCTATAAAAGGCGAAGACATTTCACCGCGAGCCAAAAAAGAAAAAGTTCTCTTTTTTTTTAAAATTCCAATAAGAAAAGAGAGTGATCACACTAAATGCGATGTAATTCATACTGAACATCATTAACACACTCGGGGGTTGTAATAATTATGTTGTGTGGCGTCAGTTTTCCTATCATAACTTACCCATTTCCTTGCGTACTTGACAAATTTTTAGAAGTTGTGTAGGGGGCCAATGGGAGAAAGCGTGTTTGCGGTCAGTGTTTTGACCAATGGCTAAGCAACCTTGTAATTGCCACGTGTCGGACAAGAAGATGTGAAAGACATTCCAGAGAGCCGCTCTCTTCCCGTTGTGTCAATTTTCAGTGCCTCATTTCGCTCGTTAACTCAAGTTGTCAACCAATTTTAGGGTGCTCCAAACAGGAAGTCTGCAATCTTCATCCAATTTTGGAACCTGTTCGCAATGAGTCCGCAACAAACTCATTGCGAACAGCTTCCGAGCATTCCCGTCTTCGAAGATGGAAGAACAAATGCTAACAACACTTATTGATGACTTAGGTAGTAAGATGAATTATTTTTTTCCCCTTCCTATTTATTCTTTTTTTTATAAATGTCATGTCTTTTTTTATTTATTTAATTTATTTTCATGATTGTTTGATTTTATTAATTGTTGTAGATTCATCTAGATACCGATGTAATGTTAGAATTGATTAATGAATTTGCAAATAACAGGTAATGAATGAGATGCTTGTAGTTAAAAGAAATAAACCATTTCCCTCCTTTATTGATGTGAGTGTGTAAAGCTGTCTTTTTCTATTTATGACTGTTATAATGCCCGTGCATAAATTAGAGAGTGTATGATGTTGTAATTCTTGTTTTCTAATGACCCTTGAGCGCTTTATTTATTTATTACTTTTCTAGTCTGATTTGGAAAGATTTGTTTGCTGCGATCATGATATTTATAGCTGTGATTTTTTTGTTTTGTTTTTTTTTTAAATTTATGAATTGTTTGCGTTGTGACTCGCAATTTTGTTATAAGTTAGATTAGGTCATAATGTTTCTGCATTTTATTAGAAATCAACGCTCGCTTTCTGCCAACGGCCATACCATGATGAAAGCACCGGTTCTCGTCCGATCACCGAAGTTAAGCATTATCGGGCGTGGTCAGTACTTGGGAGGGTGACCACCTGGGAACACCACGTGCCGTTGGCCTTTTAAATTTTAATTTAAAAAACGAGGGGGCGTTAGAACTAATTTTTGGATGGTATACGATGAGCGAATATTATTCCGTGCGGTGTATATAACAGAGACACATACTCACCTTACTTTTTTTTTAATTATTATTAAATTCGTTTATTTCTTTCAGGAACTTGATGAAGTGTGATTCTCTTTGATTCCATCGAAACACGCGAGAGGAGTAAGTTTTTCTTTTCGATCTTGTCACATCAATGCATATTCACAAACACATGTATTTATCCTATATGTGATGTTTGCTTGCTTTTTCCTCATATATTGTTATGTCCACAAAATATTTTGTTCTGCTTAACACTGTTACACAAATCGAATTTTTGTTATGTGAAAAACACAAATTCTTTTATATTGTAAATTTTGTTTTTTTTAACACTGTTACAGATTCAATTTTTTTGTTTTCATTGTTATGTCAAAAACACTTACCTGCCTTTGGGAACCCAGAAGTGATTTTTCAGTCAATCTGAGCAGGGGGTTTTAAGAGAAGTGCCTGGTAACCCCGTACGTTGGGGGGTTATAAATTTTTCCTCCGTGAACTTTTCCTTTTTAAAATTACATGCTCGGTGATCTTACTTAAAATGCTGAGAAAAATGGGTCTAAAAGGGGGAAAAACGGTCTTTGTTTTTTTGATTGGGAACACTATTGCTTTTTTCTTTTTGGGGTGCCAAGGTATAAATTTTATTAATTGAGGTGAGAATAAGAATTAGTTTGAGGGGAAATGGGGGTTAGGGTAGTTTCATAAAAGAAAACACCGGGTCGGGAAGGAGTTGTTCGAAATCGGGGTGAATAATCCCCCGTCGAGCTTGGGGGTTTAAAAATTGAGATTAAAATGAGTTTTAAAATTTGGGGAGGAGGACTACGATTAGCCTCACAGTGCTGGAGAGGGGGGGAAAAGATTAAAATGGGGGATATTGCGTTTTTCAGAATTAGATCCACCGCCCCCAGCACCCCCGTGCCCCTATCATTACGAAACAAATGAAATTAGCTACGTTATGTTGTGGGGTCCCCAGATGTTTTCCTAAATTTAAACATAACATGGGGGAGATACTTCTTAAAAATTTTAAATTCCATTTTTTTATTTAACAAGCCGTTTGCTTTCCATGGCAAAGTTTTAAATCAATAAATTTGTATCTACTCATCATCATTATCGGGTAGGCCTCTAAAAAGGCTTAAAGCTGGGGTTTGGTCAATTTACTTTTTTTTTTTAGGGGGGGGTTGGGGTTTTTAAAGTTTAAGGCACAAATTTCTGCGTTATTTGAGTAAAAGGGGTTTAATAGTTTGTTGCAGGGTTTTAGAATTAATTGGAGGGAACTATTAACATTAAAAATTTTAAAAAGGGGGGGGAACCTTGATTGATGGATGACATAGCAGGTTTCTACTTTTGGGTGCGAGTGTCGCCATCTGTTGGGGGGGGTTTTGAATTAGATGTTTGTGATTTCTGCGGGCCCGGGCATAAAGGGGAAATTGGGGCGAATTAAATTATTACGCGAGGTTAATTTTTATAGTGTTAGGGTTAGGGGGTTTCCTTTCGGGGGTTTTGGGGTATAAAAGGGGTTTGGAAATTTTTCCCTGTGTCCGTTGACAATTAATACAGAGGTTTTATCTAGGCCTTTTTGGGGCGTCCCTGTCTGATGGGGCTCGTCCCTTTTTGGCATCTAGGGGGGAAGTGGCAATTCTCGGCAGTGTGATGGAATTTATTGCACGAATAGCATTGGGTTACCCTTTCAGACAACCGCCGTTTTCCCATAAGAGTTTTAATCGCTTTATCGCAACTCTGTGGTGACCAA